TCTTCACGACATGGCTGCAGCGTCAACAAAACTACAGTGAGACTAAAAGTTACGCCTTCCTTCTTTGCGTGAACATTTGGGCGGCGTTATGCAAATCTTCCCACATAGTGAGGTAGATATGTGGGGGCGTGTTAGAATGAGCCGTTTTAGGTAGGTGTGGCTGACTCTGAACTTTTATAAAGAATATCTCTTTGGATTTGAGACTTTAGTCTTTGCAACTTTACAGATCTTCTTTATGCACCAAGAGCTTGTAACACTCCAAAGGGAAAGGAAAAATTGAAATCATATCATATGACCCCTTTAAGATTTTCCCAGTAAATAGTGACATGAACCTCAGTCATCTAACTACCATATGCCTTCAAACAATTTAGTGCACAAGTTTTATGGACCATGTGCTTTTTATTTTTTGGTCATTTTGGAGATCAACAACCCCAGTCCTCATTCTCCATCATTATGTTGTAATGACCGCTCAGGATATTCTTCAAAAATTCACTGTATGTTTTATAGAAAAAAGAAAGTCATATTAGCTTTGATTGACATGAGGGTGATTAAATAATGGCATTTTTTATTTTAATTTTTTTTAGGGTGAACTATGTCTATGCTCTTGCAATCAAAAAATCTGTTCTCACTGAACAATACTATCTCACTGTTTCTGACTTTCATTTGCTCAGGAAAGCTTGACTTTTTCTAATCAACTTTAGAACTGTGTTTTATAGCTTTTCTTTTGTTACTTCTTATGCTGCCTTCCTCATTGATAAGCTCTGGATGCTGTTCCTGTCATGAATTTAATGAATAGTTGAGCTGGGCAGGAGTGTCTCACCTCCTGACAGTACAATGACACTTAAGACTGCGGAAGGGTTTCAACACCCTTCCCAGACAGTCGAATATGGATGCATATATTCAATGATACATGAGCTTCACTGTACAAAGCAGACATGTGAGAGTAATAAAATAATATAAACAGTAACAGAAGGACACACAGACTGAGGGGAAATATAAGAAAGAGAATAAGAGAGTGTGGAAGATAGTCCACCGAATTCAGTTTTTACTCAGCAACAGAGAAGGGCCTTTGTTGCTGTCTGCCAATGAGATGCACATGGATGAGGGATAGACAGACCAGCCATTCAGGGTTATGAAAACAAACCGCTCCAATGGACACCCTCCACAAAAGACTGTGAATATCTGAGTTGCTGTCTTATAAAGGCAGAGAAAACATTATTGATCCACTGAGACGTCCCATGGTTTGCCACTACATGAACGTTCTGAACTCTAATAACAAATATTATCATGCTGTGAGGGAGTTATATGCTGCTGGAGAATTCATAACTGATTAAATAGTGGTTCTCACATCACAAAAATATTGTTTTCTCATACAGTAGTGTGTGGAAACAATTACACTTGCATTTATTGTTGTACTAATCTGGTAATGTTTGAGGTTAAGAGCACAGTTATGCACTACCCAAATGTAATTTTTATAAATTCAAGCATTTACATAAATACTCTCACCAAAAATTGTAAATGAGATAGGGCAGGCTCTGTGTACCTGAGACTGTCTGCGGTTATCTGCGGGGTCGTCTGGGTGTTGGCCTTCAGGACTCCAGCTTCCTGCTTTCTGAGACATCTCCTGGGCTCGCGCTGTCACCCATGATTGGCTCTCTGGGATCCTTTCATCAACAGGCCTGACAACACACCCACATTTAGTCAGATTACAAGTTCTCTACACTCCATGAAGGGCTTAAGGCTCTGGTTTGTCACTCATTGCGCTTTAGATGATCTTTCTCATTAGATGTCCACTAGAGTCAGTCAACGACAAGAGAAATGTTGTACAGTGGCCTGATCTTTATTAACATTTGTTGTTTTTGTTGTATGTAGAATAAAAAGTGAGCTTTATTTATTTATTTATTAATCAATCACTCATAGTTTTTGTATTTTGGAAATTATAGAAAAGAACAGAATAAAAAAATATTTTTTTCCAATGCATTTATTTTTATTTTATTTTTTTGTAAATTATAGTTTTTGTCTTTAAGGAATTATATATTTCAAGTTCAAGTTCAGTTTATTTATAAAGCACATTTCAAAATGGCCACAGGCCGACCAAAGTGCTGTACAAGTTAGAATTAAAAAAAATAAATAAGTACACTAATAGCAGCAAAACAGTTAAAACAGAACACTCTTATAAACTAAAAGCAACAGAGAATAAATAAGTTTTGAGACATGACTTGAACTCAGACAAAATATTAACTTTTAATTAAAAAAAAGTTATATTTTTTGTTGTTTTAATCACAATTCTTGTCTTTGGAAAACTATAAAAGAAGTTTATAAAAGAAATACAGAATTGGCCTGCATTAATTTTACAGTTGTTTTGTTGTTGTTGTTTGAATTCAATATTTCATTATGTCATATTTATTAATTTGAGTACATTTTACTTTGACAAAAATGAATACTGGTCATTCTTACCCAGACCCCCCCACATGATTGTAAAGCACTTTGGGTGTACAACAATACACAGTAAAGCACTATATAAATGCATCATTCATTCATTCATTCATGATTGGGTTATTTAAAACTCATATTTAATTATTGTCATGATGTATGCATTAATATCAGCTTTGTTACCATTGACAAAATACTAATAAAAATCCCTTTGTTTACATTTACATTAGCAATTTCCTTAATAATGTAAATGAAACTATCAACCTTAACACTGGGAGAGAGACTGGGGAGAAGATGGAGAGGGTGCTACTCACAGATGATTTGCAGGGTGCTGTTGTGTTTCAGGAAGGCCAGTGAGTCCCTGTCCCACATCCTGGCTTGGAGACGGCGGCTCCAGACGCTGAAACATTAATGGCGTTCGATTCTGTGTAAGATACAACATGGCCTACAGCTGGTATCAGGCAAGCTGATGGGAAAATGGGGTTGGGGAAAGATATGGGATGCAGAGCATCACATGTGCGAATGGAGAGGCAGGAGGGAATCGGTCAGTCAGGAGGCATTCCAGGAGCATTATGGGTAAATGAGTTTCCAGTGAGTTGTATTTTGTATTGTCTGCCGATGGTACCATGCTGAGAATTCATTTACTTTCATTGTCCCAGTAAATGAAGAGTTTCTGTTACCACCTGGCTGCTAAAGAGTGGTGATAAATCTTGGTGTCATTCAGTAGACAGTAGATTGCTAGCTATGAGCTCATCTGTATGCTATTGTACACCTAAACATAGTCAACATTCACTTTTAGCAGATACGTTTAGAAGATCTTTCAAATGTTTAGGGTCAGTAAGATTTTTTTTATACTTTCATTCAGCAGGGACATGTTAAATTCATCAAAAGTGTCGGTAAAGACTTTAATACTATCTCACTGTTTCTGACTTTCATTTGCTCAGGAAAGCTTGACTTTTTCTAATCAACTTTAGAACTGTGTTTTATAGCTTTTCTTTTGTTACTTCTTATGCTGCCTTCCTCATTGATAAGCTCTGGATGCTGTTCCTGTCATGAATTTAATGAATAGTTGAGCTGGGCAGGAGTGTCTCACCTCCTGACAGTACAATGACACTTAAGACTGCGGAAGGGTTTCAACACCCTTCCCAGACAGTCGAATATGGATGCATATATTCAATGATACATGAGCTTCACTGTACAAAGCAGACATGTGAGAGTAATAAAATAATATAAACAGTAACAGAAGGACACACAGACTGAGGGGAAATATAAGAAAGAGAATAAGAGAGTGTGGAAGATAGTCCACCGAATTCAGTTTTTACTCAGCAACAGAGAAGGGCCTTTGTTGCTGTCTGCCAATGAGATGCACATGGATGAGGGATAGACAGACCAGCCATTCAGGGTTATGAAAACAAACCGCTCCAATGGACACCCTCCACAAAAGACTGTGAATATCTGAGTTGCTGTCTTATAAAGGCAGAGAAAACATTATTGATCCACTGAGACGTCCCATGGTTTGCCACTACATGAACGTTCTGAACTCTAATAACAAATATTATCATGCTGTGAGGGAGTTATATGCTGCTGGAGAATTCATAACTGATTAAATAGTGGTTCTCACATCACAAAAATATTGTTTTCTCATACAGTAGTGTGTGGAAACAATTACACTTGCATTTATTGTTGTACTAATCTGGTAATGTTTGAGGTTAAGAGCACAGTTATGCACTACCCAAATGTAATTTTTATAAATTCAAGCATTTACATAAATACTCTCACCAAAAATTGTAAATGAGATAGGGCAGGCTCTGTGTACCTGAGACTGTCTGCGGTTATCTGCGGGGTCGTCTGGGTGTTGGCCTTCAGGACTCCAGCTTCCTGCTTTCTGAGACATCTCCTGGGCTCGCGCTGTCACCCATGATTGGCTCTCTGGGATCCTTTCATCAACAGGCCTGACAACACACCCACATTTAGTCAGATTACAAGTTCTCTACACTCCATGAAGGGCTTAAGGCTCTGGTTTGTCACTCATTGCGCTTTAGATGATCTTTCTCATTAGATGTCCACTAGAGTCAGTCAACGACAAGAGAAATGTTGTACAGTGGCCTGATCTTTATTAACATTTGTTGTTTTTGTTGTATGTAGAATAAAAAGTGAGCTTTATTTATTTATTTATTAATCAATCACTCATAGTTTTTGTATTTTGGAAATTATAGAAAAGAACAGAATAAAAAAATATTTTTTTCCAATGCATTTATTTTTATTTTATTTTTTTGTAAATTATAGTTTTTGTCTTTAAGGAATTATATATTTCAAGTTCAAGTTCAGTTTATTTATAAAGCACATTTCAAAACGGCCACAGGCCGACCAAAGTGCTGTACAAGTTAGAATTAAAAAAAATAAATAAGTACACTAATAGCAGCAAAACAGTTAAAACAGAACACTCTTATAAACTAAAAGCAACAGAGAATAAATAAGTTTTGAGACATGACTTGAACTCAGACAAAATATTAACTTTTAATTAAAAAAAAGTTATATTTTTTGTTGTTTTAATCACAATTCTTGTCTTTGGAAAACTATAAAAGAAGTTTATAAAAGAAATACAGAATTGGCCTGCATTAATTTTACAGTTGTTTTGTTGTTGTTGTTTGAATTCAATATTTCATTATGTCATATTTATTAATTTGAGTACATTTTACTTTGACAAAAATGAATACTGGTCATTCTTACCCAGACCCCCCCACATGATTGTAAAGCACTTTGGGTGTACAACAATACACAGTAAAGCACTATATAAATGCATCATTCATTCATTCATTCATGATTGGGTTATTTAAAACTCATATTTAATTATTGTCATGATGTATGCATTAATATCAGCTTTGTTACCATTGACAAAATACTAATAAAAATCCCTTTGTTTACATTTACATTAGCAATTTCCTTAATAATGTAAATGAAACTATCAACCTTAACACTGGGAGAGAGACTGGGGAGAAGATGGAGAGGGTGCTACTCACAGATGATTTGCAGGGTGCTGTTGTGTTTCAGGAAGGCCAGTGAGTCCCTGTCCCACATCCTGGCTTGGAGACGGCGGCTCCAGACGCTGAAACATTAATGGCGTTCGATTCTGTGTAAGATACAACATGGCCTACAGCTGGTATCAGGCAAGCTGATGGGAAAATGGGGTTGGGGAAAGATATGGGATGCAGAGCATCCCATGTGCGAATGGGGAGGGAATCCAGCAGCGGTCAGTCAGGAGGCATTCCAGGAGCATTATGGGTAAATGAGTTTCCAGTGAGTTGTATTGTCTGAAATCTGCCGATGGTACCATGCTGAGAATTCATTTACTTTCATTGTCCCAGTAAATGAAGAGTTTCTGTTACCACCTGGCTGCTAAAGAGTGGTGATAAATCTTGGTGTCATTCAGTAGACAGTAGATTGCTAGCTATGAGCTCATCTGTATGCTATTGTACACCTAAACATAGTCAACATTCACTTTTAGCAGATACGTTTAGAAGATCTTTCAAATGTTTAGGGTCAGTAAGATTTTTTTTATACTTTCATTCAGCAGGGACATGTTAAATTCATCAAAAGTGTCGGTAAAGACATTTATAATGTTATTAAAGATTTCTATTTCAAATAAACGGTGTTCTTTTGAACTTTTTATTCATAAAAAAATCCTGAAAAACAAAAATCATGGTTTCCACAAAAATACAACAGTAATAATAATAATAATAAATGTTTCTTGATGACCAAATCAGCATATTAGAATGATTTCCAAAGGATCATGTGCCACTAAAGACCGGAGTAATGATGCTGAAAATGCTTTAATGAAAAAATTACTTTTTTAAAATGCATTAAAATGTAAAACAGTCATTTAACATTGTAAATTTGTTTCACAACATTACTGTTTTTACTTTATTTTTAGTCAAACACATATGAGGCCACTTTCAAAAACATTTTAAAATCATACTGACTCCAAACATTTAAAATTTAGGGTCTGTCTCTTCTGGGAAAACAGATACAAATATTTTGTCTCATCCTGTATTACATAGATTTTTTTGCCCAATCAAATGCTTTATAGAATGAGAATGTCATCATTACCCCAGATACCAAAATGAGTAGAAAGTCACAAATCATAGCGGTGATGTAATTATCCTATAACCAATAGGTTATTTAATAAAAAATCGACATGCCCTTTGATTATGTACCACCCAAACCTTCTGTATGTGGATCAGTACGATTACTAATTTTTTTAACAACCCCAGAGCTTGTAAAACTGTGACTCTTTAGAGCCATTTTTGTGTGTATTCAACCCATAAAGCAGATAATTGGTACCACCAGCCAAAATGACACCTTGAGATTTGGAAAATGAAGGAAGAAAGAAATAAAAATCAACCTATCCAGTGAGAAACACAAAATGCATGTAGTATGTAAAGGCAGGTTTCATATTAAAATTTCATGAGAGGAAGTAATAGTTGATAAAAGAATGAGAGCTGATAAAAGAAAAGGAATCATCTGTGAACAACATGCACTGATCGAGTTTGTTTAATTAACACTGTCTAATGGATGAGTTAGGAGACAAGCTTAGCAAATTCAATGGTATCTGCCAAAACTGCTACATCCACTTGAAACATCATGGTTACCACTAAGATTGTACAGGCCAGCTTTACAAAACTGTGTTCGACTTTCATGTGGATGTATAGTTGTGGATCACATAAGAACAAAACAGTATAAAATGTAGATCAGGCCCATGCTGCATTACACTCTACTATTCATACTAATAGTCATCATCTATGAAAACACATATATATACCACCTTCATATAAACTACTGAGGAAATTAAAGTGTTTAACTGCTAAAAAAAAACAAAAAAACAATGATTTTATACTCTTTCTGCAACCAAAAACATAGTAACTGCTAATAATCAATAGTCATTGAACCAGTGGGATTCAATTACAGCAGGACACACACTGTTCCGTTATTCAGCTGGAAGAATGAATGGACATAATTAAAACAACCTATCAGATATATTGAAATATTAAACCACCCACTGCAAGTGACTTCATACAATGAGGAATTAAGTCGGTCAGTCAATAAGTTCGGCAATTAATTATTAATCTAGAGGTTTATGTGGAAGAGAGTAATCATGCAACGCAATACTTTACAGATTGTAAAACCCTTTTAAGGGGCAGCCTCTTACAAGACTTCCCAGGTTTATTCTATTTCCTTTCACTTCTTGGAAGGATGCCAAAAATGTCACCAATGTGATTTAAGTCACAAATGTGATTTAAATCCTTAGATTATGATTATAAACCCAGTTTTCTAAGAAAGATGAGTTGTGAGATGAGATGTGGCCTTCCTTTATCAAATTCCTTTAGCATTTATAATTGTTTTTACTAATTGAAGAGATCAGTTTAATGTTTCTGAATTCACAATTCAGTTATGAAAATGATGTACTTAGCAGACATTACATACTTTACTCTAATTCTTCTATGTCTTAAATGACAACAACTACACTGTGCATACAACTGAGCGCAGAAGGAGGCCTGATTTTTAAAATCCTGACAGAGCTTAAAGCTGATGTGTGTAGTTTTATCAAGTGTAAAAATATCTTCCTTGTCCAAACTTAAGGTAAAACTTTTCCCTCATATTGTTACGTATATCCAAGTGAAACAGCACCTCAAATTAGGGGAAAAAAAAGTATGACAGGACTTGATTCTGTCCATGATGCACACATCATCAGAGGAGACATATAATTGGGGCAAAGAGGATTATATTGCTGAATAAATATATGGGGCCACATAAATTGAGTTTGGTGTGGGATTGCCTCTTTGTCTGCCCAAAAGCAGTTGGCAAAGTTTGAAGCAGTCATTATGTTTCCATTCCATTTGGTGAAACTAGTGACGCAGAAATTACACACTTCATCTTTAGCTCCACATAAATATCATATTTTGTGTAATGTAAGGCAGAGATGCATTTGTGAATGTAGTACTTTAAATGATTGTTCTAAGTAACAGTAAAATGTTGAGCTGTCATCACTATTGACAGTTGATGCATCTTTGCAATTTAAAGATAAAGGGCAAACGAACTAGGCAAGCCTATTGGACTACTAAATACAAAGAAGGTTATCGCTCAGTCCCAAAATGAGAAAGGTGAGTGCATTGTCAAAATTGTATTCTCAGATTCCACATGAACTGTGACAAGCCGCAGGAACACAACATATTTACTGTAGTTCCTCATCTTTTTTGCCTTTCTCAATAGCTTCTCACTGAGAATGTTCTTTAAACAACATCAGCACCTCCAGTGGCATGTAACTGGCTCACTATCTAAGATACAAGTGTGTTTACGCTTCAGAGTCGATTGTGAAAATGAGCATTTAGCACAGCTGAGGACTGTTTGTCACAGCTCATTGTGGACTGAGATTGTGATTGCAGGGTGAGAGGATGACGGCGTACCTGTTCATCGTGGATAGCCTGTGTCCGCTTGGCTTTACTTTGCCTATAATACTCCATGATCATCATGGCAGCATAGATCTTTCCCACTGTCAGGTCTGTCGCTGCTGAGAAAAGGACAAGTTACCCTGCACGATTAGACAAGGTGAGATGGACCCTGAGCGAGGGGGATGGGAGTGAGGACGGGACATGCACAAGACAAACGCAGACAAACAAACTCACATGCACAAACAAAGAGTGTCGAATCGACACACACAGAGCCAATGGTCTTTTCACAAGCAGACTGATTAAAATGGCTAAAACTATTCACGCACTTCATTTTTACGATCAATATTTAAAATACTCAATTTCTACTGTTTTAAGTACAAAAGTATTGCAAGAACTGACAGCAAACTACAGCATAATTCCTGGATACAGTAAACAAAGTTTCTCAAAAACGGTCTTTGCCGCTTTATGAAACCGAGTTCACATTGAGAAGTTACTAAGAGTAACTTCAGACTAGGTTTACATGCCATGCTTAGTGGTGATTAAAGCCATGGTCACCACCTCTGTATAGGATCTGCATAGAACAATGAAGATAGCAATTAGCATCAAACAATACAGTTCTAAATTACTACATGCTTGCTGCAAACTCATCTAAAACATACAACTAGCATTATCATTGTGTCAAAAGCTTTATTGCCTCATGTGTGACAGCAGAACCACCTCATTATCTCATGCTTTTTTGTAGCATCTAGCTAGCATTAGGCTAGCTAGTTTTAAGCATATTTCATAAGATAGTTAGCTTTAAGCATGTTTTTAACAGCGAGCTAGCACACACATCTCATTGGTAGCATAATAGTGGTGCAATATATGTATATATATTTGTAATAATACTATTTTACGTACATCTTGTCAGGAATCTCATAACCCCTGTAGTGAAAAGACATCTATAGAGGGTTGATCTATAGTAAGGCACCCCCTGGTCTCAGGCATAGTGAGCTGGACATACACCAATGTGTGTTATCAATGTCTTTTGTTGCATTTGTCTTAAAATATCTTTGTTAATATGTTTGTGTGTAAAGTTGCAGTCGACTGTAGCGGGAGGGAAGGAGCTAAACATGCTAAAGCTAACGGCAACACACCAGGTGCTTGTGAAACATCTTTCAGCGCTTTTTTTACTGCACTAAGGCCCTAAGTAAGCGCAAAGTAATTCAGTTTTTATGCACACTGACGTAAATTCCGTCATTATACTAGTATACCCGATTTTTTTAACCCTGCATACAATAACAACAAACTACTGGAGATGACAACGACAATAGACGACTACGTTGACAAACGCTTATATGAAGACATTCCAAGATAAACAGATCTACAGTTTGCAAAGGCATTTTTATTGCTCATAACTTTTGGAAAGAAATAGTGCAGACACTGGACAAGGGTAAAACTTTCTAGTGTGCAGGTGCCTAGCATCTGTGTTAGCACACGCTATCAAATGGAGTATACTTTGAAAGGCTGTGTGTTTAGCTGTTCGCAACAAAAACTAAAATATACTTTCTGCAACTACTCTCTTGGTTCATTTGCATGTATAGGCCTTGCATCTATTTATACATTTGCCCTATACAAACTGCAATCAGCAATTATGTTGTTGGCATGTTTGCGCCATTACTGGATTTGAATAACACTGTAACACTTGCATAGTGGGACCAATTCTCACTATGAACTAGTTGCTTATTAGCATGCCTATTAATAACATATTGGCTGTTTATTAGTACTTATAAAGCACATATTCTGCATGACCATATTCTACATCCCAATACCTAAACTTAACAACTACCTTACTAACTATTAATAAGCAGCAAATTAGGAGTTTATTGATGGAAAAAGTCATAGTTAATGGTTTGTTGATAAAGAGAATTGGACCTTAAAATAAAGTGTGACCAATAACGCATACTTTCTGCGTCACTTTCAATGTCTACGATTCATTCTCGGTGAATTTCCTCTTCTGTGATCAGTCTGCAGTCTAAATGTGTGGTATACATCTATAAGGGCCCAAAATGAAACTAAGGGTACAGGCCTGGACCATCAGGGGGTGCAGAGCAGTGATTGGGCTGGCTGAGAGAAGCTGTCCTTAGGTGGAAAAAGAGACACATTGTGAACACACCAACCTCCTGGGTAACTTACACTTGTGGGGTGTCACCAGAAGGTCCAGATTCTTCTGAGAGAGATTAGGCCATATCGCCATCATCTCCTTCCTTAGTTCAGCATCCATCTGGTGCTTATCTACGCCTCCTATTTACACAGCAACAGGTACACGTACACACATATATGCAAACGTATTTCCACAAACACACACACATACACAATTTTTGTTAAGGTTTGAACAATGTAGTGTCCAATCTTACATAGACGTATTGTGCACAAAATCTTACAAATTCTATATTTTATGAGTCATTATATACAGTGGGGTCTTTTTTGAGGTTTGACCAGGTTTAGAATAGATTTGAATCTCAATACTTTTGAACCTTAAACCGCTACAGGCAAATACATCAACTGTTCAAACAACAGGAATGAATGAAGAAAGTAATGCCAAACCTTCCCCACCCTTGGCGATCTTGATGTCCAGAGCAGTTCGGATTAAGGCCATAAGTGTGGAATTAAAGTGCACTGTGTTGTCATCAGCAACTGGCAGATCCATCCGCAACAGTCTCTGTGGAGAGCCAATCAGGAGCAGTTAGAAGAGCAGCGCTACTGAGATATATGTGTGCTTTGAACCTCCAGGTAGGGTGTGCTTTTGGTGTGTGAGAGGAAATGGGAGGGGAAAGGAGGGACGGATTTTCAGGGTTAGCTCTGTGACCTTTGATACTCAGTGCAAGAATTAATTTAGAGCTGTCTTAGTGCAGTAATCGAGGAGGAGACTGATTAATGGTTTATGAGATTGCTGTGGAAGTTAATATATAAAGAACAGTTCTGTGGTCTAAAACAGTGGCTTGGTCTGGTTAGTCACAACCCAAAAATGGCTCGCAGGTCTGTTCTCAGAGAACAGCAAAAAAATACACAATGCTTAGTGCATTTAATACAAATACCACAATTGCTTACAGTCAGATGTAGCAATAATAAACAGGCTTATCAACTTTTAAAATTGAGGAGGAAATGATTCCCATTTCTTTTGTTGCTGACCTCAAAGGCTGTTTTGCAGTATTTTTTTCTGCAAATTCATTTGTAATTTGGTGTAACATGACCACAAAAATCATGAACAAATCTATGTCACCAAAGTAAAATAAATCATACTAAATTAAATACAATTTAAATGAGGATAAGCATGATTGTACTGACCACAATGTATTTTGAACATTGAATTGTTGGCTAAATATTTGATTTTAAGGACATTATTATTAGTTTTGTAAAACTTGGGTCGCAAAGCAAAACCAGTAAAAAACCACTGATTCAGATGTCCATGAAACTGAGGCAGCATTTGCTACAAATCAAATTTGTATCTGTATGATGGATGATGTATTTTGTTTTCATATCAGCATCTGAGCTGTCAGTCAAAGAGCTTTTCCGGGAGGAGGTTCACATATTAAACTCAGACCAGCGGATGAAATAATAAATTAAAACATCATTACGTAAATGTCAGAGTTTTAAAGTATAATTCATCCTGTACTGATCTGGGGAAAGATTATACTTAAACACAGAAAGTCATAATTGCATTGCACAGGGTTAAATGTTACCTCAATCCTTCCGTTACCACGATACCCTCTGCGATGCAATCACTCACGTTACCCGGTGTCTCCCCATCCCGCTCCATCCCAGAAGAAACACTCACCCTCCACCCCCACTACCCTTTTTCCCAGCATGCATCATGCAGTCACATGCATCACAGGACAAGCAACAGAGCAGCCAACACTGAAAGCATCATCTAGTTGGTTCATTTCAGCTCATTCATTTAGGTTTAGTAGTGGTTGCTGTCATTGAGACTCAATCATAGATGGGCTACTGGATAAAACAAGAGCTCGATCCAGATTCTCTGGTCTCTCAATGCAAAAAAGATGGGTGCAGGCTATTGGTTTAGGTTAGAGCAGCATTCTCCAGAAAAAAAAAATGCCAAACCTTCCCCACCCTTGGCGATCTTGATGTCCAGAGCAGTTCGGATTAAGGCCATAAGTGTGGAATTAAAGTGCACTGTGTTGTCATCAGCAACTGGCAGATCCATCCGCAACAGTCTCTGTGGAGAGCCAATCAGGAGCAGTTAGAAGAGCAGCGCTACTGAGATATATGTGTGCTTTGAACCTCCAGGTAGGGTGTGCTTTTGGTGTGTGAGAGGAAATGGGAGGGGAAAGGAGGGACGGATTTTCAGGGTTAGCTCTGTGACCTTTGATACTCAGTGCAAGAATTAATTTAGAGCTGTCTTAGTGCAGTAATCGAGGAGGAGACTGATTAATGGTTTATGAGATTGCTGTGGAAGTTAATATATAAAGAACAGTTCTGTGGTCTAAAACAGTGGCTTGGTCTGGTTAGTCACAACCCAAAAATGGCTCGCAGGTCTGTTCTCAGAGAACAGCAAAAAAATACACAATGCTTAGTGCATTTAATACAAATACCACAATTGCTTACAGTCAGATGTAGCAATAATAAACAGGCTTATCAACTTTTAAAATTGAGGAGGAAATGATTCCCATTTCTTTTGTTGCTGACCTCAAAGGCTGTTTTGCAGTATTTTTTTCTGCAAATTCATTTGTAATTTGGTGTAACATGACCACAAAAATCATGAACAAATCTATGTCACCAAAGTAAAATAAATCATACTAAATTAAATACAATTTAAATGAGGATAAGCATGATTGTACTGACCACAATGTATTTTGAACATTGAATTGTTGGCTAAATATTTGATTTTAAGGACATTATTATTAGTTTTGTAAAACTTGGGTCGCAAAGCAAAACCAGTAAAAAACCACTGATTCAGATGTCCATGAAACTGAGGCAGCATTTGCTACAAATCAAATTTGTATCTGTATGATGGATGATGTATTTTGTTTTCATATCAGCATCTGAGCTGTCAGTCAAAGAGCTTTTCCGGGAGGAGGTTCACATATTAAACTCAGACCAGCGGATGAAATAATAAATTAAAACATCATTACGTAAATGTCAGAGTTTTAAAGTATAATTCATCCTGTACTGATCTGGGGAAAGATTATACTTAAACACAGAAAGTCATAATTGCATTGCACAGGGTTAAATGTTACCTCAATCCTTCCGTTACCACGATACCCTCTGCGATGCAATCACTCACGTTACCCGGTGTCTCCCCATCCCGCTCCATCCCAGAAGAAACACTCACCCTCCACCCCCACTACCCTTTTTCCCAGCATGCATCATGCAGTCACATGCATCACAGGACAAGCAACAGAGCAGCCAACACTGAAAGCATCATCTAGTTGGTTCATTTCAGCTCATTCATTTAGGTTTAGTAGTGGTTGCTGTCATTGAGACTCAATCATAGATGGGCTACTGGATAAAACAAGAGCTCGATCCAGATTCTCTGGTCTCTCAATGCAAAAAAGATGGGTGCAGGCTATTGGTTTAGGTTAGAGCAGCATTCTCCAGAAAAAAAAAAGAAGAACAAAAAAAGGAAATGGCTTTGTGAGTTGTTGTTGTGAAGAGGATGAGCTAAGAGTGAAGATTCGGCTACCTGCTGTGCAAGGGTAATACTTTAATGCTACGGATGATAAAGAGAAAAGCAGTGGGCTGTCAGAGAGGAGTACCGGAGCAGGAAGTTGGTTTAGGACTGACAACTTTTACAGGAGGAGTTTGGATGGCTGAGATGGTAGTGATGAAAGAGACAGGACAGAGACAGTGACACCAAATTTAAAGAGAGCTCAAAAGCTACATGAAAATCCGAGGGCGAAGGAGAATGAAGCGGAAGATAAAGCTACAGGAAACGTAAGAAGGGAAAGCTCTACCACAGGCTGGTCACATTCTCTACAGGCGATCCTCTATTATGGGCCCTAATGTTTGACAGGGAGAAAGAGGGTGAATGCAATGGTCGTGGTCACTGTTCTTCATTCCACTGAGGTTAGGGGGCAGCAGAGACCCCGTTAGACAGGAAGTGACCTGTCTGACTGAATACACAGAGATTGTTGGTCTGCCACCACATGTTTATGTTGGTGGAGATCACTGAGCACTCTATGAAGCAAAATATTTTACGAAATGGGAGATCAAATGGGACAGAGAAAAATGGAGGGGGTGGGGCAAAGGTAAGAGAAAGGAGATCCCAGACTTGTTGAGGGCTCATTACGGGCACAGATCTCCTTTCCTTCTAGCTGTCGTTCACTGAGCACAGGGTGAAATATCAGTGTACGGTTGCAGACAGACAGAGAGAGAAGAAGAAAGCGAGAAGAAGCTAAGGGAGTATCTTGTGGGAGGGGCCAGTGGCCTGGAAGGCGGGGCATGCAGATGATTGGCAGAATGTAAAGAGGAGGGGCTGGAAACAGATTAGAACTGCATTGACAGAAGAAAGAGAAGTGGGAAAAGGATTATTTGTGCATTGTACCAAAATGACTTGATTTGTTCCTTTGTAGGGCCATAACGCTACCCAAGGATTACATGTGTGTTGTTGCGTATGTGTGTGCATGTGTGCTTATCTGTGTATTAAGCGAAAAAAGAGAGACAGAGAGCTGGTCGCAAGAGGAAAGGGTCCCTAAGAGAGCGGCATCCACAGAGCTGAGGGACTCGGAGGACTAAAAACCTTCAGGCCTTCCTACCACTGCTGCACACGCACATTTGGGGGTGTTTTTTAATGTGTGTGTGTGTGTGAGACGATGTGAATAGACAATATGCACGTGTATGTGTGCACATGTGTCCCAATTTGCGTACTCATGCACTATTCTATGCCATTTTATAGTAGTGTGTTCACACTAAAAATTTGATGCATGATGCTCTTAATTGACCAAAATAATGAAGTTTGGAATGTTGGACACTTCATGCACTCAACTGTCGCCACTTTCCTTATGTAGCAAAGGTGGAGGGACAACCAGACTTTGATGCTGGATGACAAATTAGCCTTATATAATTCATAAACTAGACGGTAGTGCATAGTATAAGTGCATAGTGTGTAGTGCATCATGTGGGACACCGCATTTTTTTGTTTATTATCACACTGCATCTCAGATCTGAAATTCAATTATTGATCACTGCTGTACATTAAAGCATAAAAATCTTGCTTTAATGTATTGATAAAGGTGTAGAATGTAAAAGCAAATCTGAGACCTTTATGTTTCATTCTTCGAAGTTTCAAAAGCTATGAAAGTGTGCGTTAGTGTATATGTGTGCGTGTATGTTTTCATACGGTGCAAAAGTGCTGAGAAGGTTAGTCCGTTCCCGCTTCCCTGTGGATCGGCCCGCCTCAGTCTAACACCCTCGAACCCGGCCCTGCCACCAGAATCACAATAGCGGCCTCCGTCAGACAACGAAGGAGGAAAAGAAGGAGAGAAAATAAAGAGAAAACACCAACAGTACAGACACAGCGCTGGCCACTCGGAGGCCCTCTACCTTGTAGGCAACCCGTGCAGGGCACTTCTTCCCCAGGCCTAACGGAGGAGACATGTGTCTGAGCATCTCATACATATCCCTGAAACTGATTCTGCCACTGGGCAACCGAAACAAAAGAAAAACCAAAGGAAATGTGCATGGGAGAGAGAGAAAGAGAAGAAGAAAAGGGGTAAATTAAAAAAGAAGGGATCAGGAAGGAGACGGGGAAGTGGGAGGGGAGGAGAACAGAACAGAGCAGAACAAAAAGAAGGTTATTGGCCTGTATGAAAGGAGCGGCTTGGTAAACTAGGCTGCCGTAAGACTGATGATCGGTCATTTGTGGGTAAGGTGTGGGGGGAGGTGGGAGGGGGTTGTGCTGAACGTCTTGAGTTGCTAAAAAGGCGTTCTATGCAATGGGGCAGGTTGCATAGAAGAGCATGCGGACTTCAGAACAGGCATAAAGTCCCGCTGCTGGCAGGGCGTTGTAATGAAGTTTAATGTCAATGCAGTTTCTGTCCCCCTCCACCCAGAACAATGCACGCTACCATACCAGCTAGGCCTAGCCGTGCCTCAACAGCAAGCAAAACAAAAATCAAAGATGGCTGATTCGTTTGTTTTTGTTTGTTTGTTTGTCTTTCATTTTAGTGGTTTTCTCGTTTGCTTGTTCCATACACACTAGTGCACTAGTTCATGCTCCTGTAAGTGTCGGCATTGTCCTGCACATTCTCATTGTCATATCAAGTAGAATGCAAGTAGAAATGGTGAGAGTACAAAAACATTGTTGAAAAGAAAAAGAAGAGGAGGTAAGCGACATTCATTGCATTCTGGATGCTAGCAGGTAATATTAGTTTTTAAGTGGAAGTCAAACCTTGCAGGCCACCCTATGAGGACATTTCTTGCCTAAGCCCAGAGGGGGGTCGATAACTCGCAATAAACTGTACATATCCTTATAATGAATGCGCCCGCTGTAAGAAGAATACAGGGAAGTTAGAGAACACAATTCAGAACAGAGACATTGGCAGGAAGAAGAGCACAAGAACAGGAAGAGAAGCACAGAATCACACACACATTTTCTTATTTGCTCGTCACCCGTTTGTGCCGTCAAATCTGTTCGCATACCTCCATATTACTGTTCCTCACAAGTCTCTGCTTCACTTCTTTTTTTTCCCTTATTCCTTACTTTCACTTTTCAGTTAGTTCTGTTTTCTTCTTGTAATTCCTCTTTAGCTGGCTTCCTTTCTTATTCTTTCCTTATTCTCCCTCCCTCTTTTTCTTATTTCCTTTTGTTTTCTTCCTCTTCCTCTCTTTATTTACTCCTTACCCCTACATGAATTTCTCCCTTTCTCTTTTACTTCCTCATTTTTCTCTTCTACTTCCATTTCCTCCATTTCCCTTCCTCCCTCCTTTCTTTCTTTTCCATCTTTCCTTACTCATTTTTCTTTATTATATATTTTTTCATTCTCTTTATCATTTATTGCTTCCTTCTTTTCGGTTATCCTTACTTGCTTCCTCTTTTCCTTCTGTTAATTGTATTCCTTCCTTCCTTTTGCTTCAACTTTTTCCCATCCTTTCTCTTTCCCTTCCTCTTTTCCATCATGTCTTTCTTTCTTGTTTCTTCACTTGTTTCCTGCTTACTTTTCCCAATCCTTTCTCTTTTCCTTTCATTATTGGTTGTTCTTTACTTACTGTTTTTCTGGCTTCCTTTTGCTTTCTCTTTCTTTCACCTTACTTTCTCTTTTCCTTCCCACCTTCTACCTCCTTCCTTCCTCCTTTCCTTTCATTCTTTGTTTTCCTTCCTTCCTCTTCCCCTTTCTCGTGCCCTTCTTTTCACCTTCCTTTCTATCTTTCTCCCTTGAAGTTTACCTTTCTATTCACTTTTCCTTTCTATATTTCTTCCTTCTTTTCCTTTCCCTTTTTACTACATCTTTTCCTTTCTTGCTTCTTTTTCTACTTAATTTCTCTTTAATTTCTCTAACGTCCTCTTTCCTTCTTGCTTTCTTTCTTGTCAGATTGATTCTGCCATTCAGAATGAAGACTCTCTGGAAGACTCACTCTCCGAAATCTTTTCAGCATAATTTCCCTTGGTAAAAAGGCTTTAATTCAGTCTTTTTTTCAGTCCTTCCTAGTCTTCTCTGAATATCTGATTAACTCTCGGTTGCCCGCCTACATTACTGACTAACACACAACATTAGGGTGACAGGCACTGGAATGCAGATACCGGGAAACTTAGCGTGTTCAGTAGAAGGGAGGGGGCTGGCACAGTAAGTTTGGCTTGCAGTATGCAGTATTCCAGAGTGGGAGGACTGGGACTCACAGAAGGGCACGTAGGAGGGTTTGGGGGGATTGATGGATTTTAGCAGAGCTGAGAAGCTCAAATCCATGATCCCTTTCTCTCAGCTGGTGCTGTGGTGTTCTCCTCGCTGTTTGGTCCAAGGTAGGATACAATGAAGCCAGGCTCTGTACGTTAAAAGACTTTGCCAGAGGCCACGGCTCTATACCGATGTCAAAAACGAAGTGTTCCAGTCGAACACATAAAAGAGGGCCATTGCAGTCTGTTATTTAGGACAGAGGCTATATTTACAGTTGTGAAAATGTACAACACATTTAAAGCACACTGTCCTTGCACGCAAGACCAAAACATGTTAAAATAGCCTCTTTAAAATGGTGTGTCCAGCAAATTTAAGGGCCAAAGAAATTTGAAAAGTAAGGGTCTGTTACATCCAATTCTGCATTTTAAAAGAATCCATGGTCTCACATTTTTGGACATTATCGATTAATTACAGAGAAACATGTTATAGACAGTCTAATGGCATCTATTTAGTACTACCAAGAGTGTATTAATAAGTTTAGTGAGACGTGTAATTAAACACAATTATACATTTTGTTTATAAATTTGCTTCATGTTACTAATTAATAAGTACTTTTCACAATTAGTATGTAACATACAAGATTAGTATATAATAAAATATTGAAAGAGCATGTTTATGTGTGCAAGTGCACATAGGCTCACCAAGCAGCTGGATCATACTCCGCCCAGATTCTCACATACTCGTCCAGGTGATGGGGTCCCAGGATAGAGGAGTCACGCGTCAGGTACTCAAAATTATCCATGATCACAGCCACGAACAGATTCAGCATCTACACACAAGTAAATCACAGGACTAAGCAGACAAATCTGTTGAGTTGAGCTGTAAAGTACACACCTCATGTACATGACACTATGTAATTTCTCCGCTTTTAAGCAATATTAATACAGTACAATTATGGATGTCACACTGTATTAAAAAAAATGGTCAGTGTAGTTGTAGTTTGTAACATAATCCATCACATTGCACATTTTAGGTAATATGTGACCCTGGACCACAAAACCAGTCTTAAGTCGCTGGGGTATATTTGTAGCAATAGCCAAAAATACATCGTATGGTTCAAAATAATAGACAAAATAATTTTTCTTTTATGCCAAAAATCAAAATTTTTTCTTTTATGCCAAAAATCATTAGGATGTTCATTAGGATAAAGATCATGTTCCATGAAGATATTTTGTAAATTTCCTACCATAAATATATTAAAACTTATTTTTTGATTAGTAATATGCATTGCTAAGAACTTAATTTGGACAACTTTAAAGGCGATTTTCTCAATATTTAGATTTTTTTGCACCCTCAGATTCCAGATTTTCAAATAGTTGTATCTCGACCAAATATTGTCCTATCCTAACAAACCATGCATGAACGGAAAGCTTATTTATTCAGCTTTCAGATGATGTATAAATCTCAATTTCGAATAATTGACACTTAAGACACTTAAGGTCACATATAATCAGAATACATTATGATTACTTTTAGATTACATTTGATCTTACTCGTTCACCATATTGATTTAAATTGGATAATCTTGTACCATATTGATATAAAAAAATAGTAATAAAATACATTCTATGCATTGTAATGCATTAAACACTACATTACGCCAAGGTTTCCCATTGGGTTCATAAAGGAACTGCAAGGGGTTGGTGAGTTTAATGAAAAGGTAATAATTAATTAAATCATAGTAATGTAAAATTAATAATGTAAAATTTGGAATCTTAATATGTAATCCAGATTACATGTAATCAGTTACTACCCAGCTCTGTGTGTATATATATATAATATATATATATAATACGATATATAACTACATAACACAATACATATAATACAATGAAAACTAAATAGCAGCTTTACGTCAGTGGATATAATCAGTATTGGGAACACATTTGTTTGCATTTTGTTTTGCTGTATCACTGGAACAGATGGAAAGTAATAGAGAAGTATGCCGCATGTCTGAGTCACTTTTCACCACTGATGACAAATGTGGCGACCACTCAGCAAAACATCAAAATGATAAATCCTAGTGCCAGATTCCCTCTTACTATAATATAACGCCCACTAAAGCAATGGAAACTGCTGCTCAACAATTGGAGATCTTTTCATCTGTATTTGATACAAGCTTTCCAAAAGCAATTTCATAAAATAGCGGGCCAAGCGATTAGTCGACAGAAGAGACAGACGGCTGCACGTGAGTGTTTTGCGTAATACTTGTTTATAGATCTGCTGTTTGAATTATTACTTTCTGCTAGGAAGGAATATTTCGTTTTCTGCCTATTTCTACGTTATATTTTTGTTTGCGTTCGAAATCGCCTAGCCACTTAAGTATCATTTTTCTCTTCCCTGTACACACTCTCCTTTTCTGTCCTCTCTTTTCCACCTCTATCATGTGTTTCCAACACATTATAAAAGCGTCTGCAAAATGACTAAATGTAAATGTAAATAGCAGGGCCAACATTAGCCATTGCAAAAAGCTGTGGTGAAATGTCCCCACTATAAATGATGCCTATGAGTACAACGCTAGTGATAATAAGAGTGCTGATGTTCTCACCAGAAAGGAACAGAGGAAGATGAAGGAGACAAAGTAGAGGTAGGCAAACTCGCTCCCACACTCTGCCTCCACGTTACCAGAGAGAGGATCACACACCTTCTTTCCCAGACATGACAGCATGATATCATGCCATGCCTCACCTGTAGCACTCCTACAAACACACGGTGTTGAACTACGGTTATAAAGTGTTTGTAACCCACACACAACATTCAACAGAGCCAGTCTGTGATTCACACACAAACCTGAAGAGCAGCATTAGCGCCTGGAAAAAAGTCCTGAAGTTGTTATGCTGGTTAATGGCACTCTCACCATCCTCCTCAATCGCAATGTTCCCAAACAGCTGTGAAACACAAAACCCACCCCAGCATAAGCCCACAATCTCATTGCCCACTACCTTCAAATATAGCCATTTACCTATTCTCAGTATGTGCTGTGCAGCCTCCCACACACTCTCTCACATACTCACCTGCATGCCAATGATGGCGTAGATGAAGAACAGCATGGCGATGAGTAGGCACACATACGGCAGAGCCTAAGCACAGCAGATCAGTCAAAATAAACCATCAATTAAATGTGAGTGAAAACCTGTTACTGGCAGTCTGAGGAGAAATGTGCAACACAATGTCAACATGTTAGTGTAAATGTAGGTAAATTAGGACACATTTTGAGATGACTAGGAAAAAAGGCCCAATTAACCTGAATTTAACCCCTACCAAAAACCCGGACCACATTAAAAAAAGTTCTTTATGCTTAAATTCTTTATGCTTTAGTTATTCATTGTCCGCTATTTTGCACACACACTATAAACATTCTCTTTCCATAACAAATTTCTAGCACATAACACAGCAAGTGCGTTTGTGGCATATCGGATTAATATCATGTATAATGATTTGTTTAGGTTTTAGTTTAGTTAATTTACACGCTAGCTAAGTGGCCTCAGTTTCAGCTTACACAGCTCCAAGGTTATTACTGTTTACTTAAACTAAATCTAAAGCTATTGAAAACACATTTTCAATTTTATATATAGCATAAAATAAAATGAAACAAAAATATTACATGGAAAACCTAAACTAAATGAAGATCAAGTAATGCTGCTTTGGCAACTAACTGACATATTTTTAATTTGAAGAGGTAAAATTACTAACTGGGGGAAAAAAAAATAAAAACTAATAAAACTTACAAAAGCACATAATAAAATGACTAACAGTTAAGCTAAAATAAAAAAAACGGAAACTATAAAAATAAAACCAATTCAAAATATGAATAAAAGCTATATAACATTATACAAATAATACTAAAATAACAATGAACAGGTCAAGCAATTCATTCTGCAACATTACTGATTATGATCAGATTTGTTGGGTTAATATTCGTACTAGATTCTTCAAAAGAAAGTAGTGAAATTATTTATCATCATAATGCACATTTTTATTCACAATTTCATTATTGTTTTTGAAATAAACAAAAACAACCTTCATTAACCAACATTTTGCCAATAATTTCATTAACAAGATAGCTCTGTGTGCTGTCTGACTCAAAAAAACAAAACAATGCTTGCATACTGTTTTGTATGTGTGTGTAATTTTACCTTGAAAGACTGGACGAAGGTCCAGAGCAGGATGCGTATGGTCTCACCCTGCCTGAGCAACTTAATGAGACGAGCAGCTCTGAAGAGCCTTAGAAAACTCAGATTTATGAAGTTGTTCTACAGAGACAGAAAGGAAGCAGTAGACAGAAATAGAGAAGGGGCAGACAGACAGAGAAAGGAAATGATGTCAGTCCAAAACATTTGATTACAAACGGTGAAGAAATTAAAAAGGAACTAAGGAAGAAAGAAAAGAAGAAAAGTAGGAATAAAATCAAACAAGGAGAAACCAAAAAAAATAAAATAAATCAAACTGACAAGACTAAACAGGCTCAGCATATCCAGTGGTGAAAGAGGGGAAAAGACAAAGATAAAGGGAGGAGGCAGCAACTCATACAAAAAAATATATAATTATATAATAAAACAAAATACTGTAAAAGAGTTCTCATTAGGGAAGGGAGTGCACAGACCCTAACTTCTTGCTTCAGTCAACCAAATGCACTGATCTGTAGATTCACGTGGAATCATGCCAACCACACTAATAGCATACAATGACCAACAGAGGGCACTAGCAAAGACAAGGGACATGTGCTGGGTTAAAGGACATATTTCAGTCAGTTGTGGGCAATTTTTGTATTTTTCTTCTGCTTTTTTTTTTTTTGAAGACGTCAGGAACTGAGGGGAAGAAATTACTGTTTATTGTCCTTTAAGCAGCACAGAGATACTGGGAAACAAAAATCGAACACAAGTTCAAGGTGGATTTAACTCCATCTCTACCTTCATAACTGACATATTTAGATGTCTTTAGTACGCTTACATCTATGTGTGTGTTGATGTATTTAAATGTCTGTATGGCTGTATGAAGATGCAGTGTCAAAAACAACAATTACTAGCATTCCCTGTCAGCAAAAAAGCACAACATGCATTCAGGAAACCTGCAAACTGTGTGCTAAGGATCAATTACACCTCAGCTGATAGGGGCTTTGTCATATTGTTAGACAAGCAGGGGTGAAAGGTCATCATGACTCAAGCACATGCATCATTATATCATCATCAGCTACAGGGAAACAGATGCATTAGATGCATTACTCCAAAAGAAAAATTACAAACCATCTACATGTAGATGTTGCAGAAGCATGGTTTATAGCAGTATTTTTGGAGGTTGATTAAACAACCATTGTGATCGGTTTATTCAGGTCATGGATATACACATGAGTTTCATAGTGCATTTTGATTGGATGGAGTCATCAGAGGGCAAAGCCGCCATAAAGAAGAGTTTAAAGAAAGCATGTAAAACAAAGATAAAACAAGACATGAATTATCATTATGCATATCGACAAACCTTTCAATTCAAATGAAGGTTGATTATAACAAAACAACATTTTTTAAATGATGCACTTTTCATATGCGGTTTGAAAAGCTTTTATCAATACATATATATTTGACAGTCTTGTAACTAGAGATCTGACTTCAGTCTTTAATTACAAATTTAACAAAACATCAGCAATAATCTCTTCAGGTGGATCTCCAGGTACAGGACTGGGTCTTAAAATAAAAATAAATAAATAAAAACACTTATTAATATCATATAATACAGTATTTCTCATCACATTTCTGTTAAAAACACCATGAAATTAAAATAGAAAGTCCATTTGTGTTTGCTTTGAGGTCATCAGTATGCTTGTGTAATCCAAAAAGCTGATAGAGTAAATATAATTACAATTGAATATTCATGGTTTTTCTTTGCTGGGGAAATGGAACAGAAGTATTGATGACTGAAATGTAGGCCCAATAAAATGCCCTTTAGAATGTGAAAGGCCCTTTCTCCTAATCAATGCAACCTGTCATCATGGTTTTGCCAGACTGTGACGTGAACTAAAGTCTACTGCTATTTTAAAATAAATAATTAAACAATTATGAAATAAGTCAATAAATTGGTTAATTAAATAAACAAACATTTCAAGATAACATAAATGCATAATAATGACATTTTCAAATAAATGATAAAATTCAAATTCACAAAGACCAGTGATGCAACTAAACTCTCCAGGTAAATAAAAAATAAAAAAATAAAAAATAAAATGACAAAATAACTACATAAATAAAAATATTATATTTCCAAATTAATAATAATTTTGATTCTTAAAGATCTTGCTTGGATTACTGCAGTTTTCTTTCCTATGTTGACAGAAACAGGTAGTTTGGGCCGGACATTTTGAAGGTCTTGTCTCTTTTTATAATAATAATAATTATTATTATTATTGTTATTAGGCAGCAGCTATTTGCACAAAGTGTAAATAGTGATAGATGTAATTCACACTAAGTGCAAATAGCAATTAGAGCCTATTTACACTAAGTGAAAATAACATTTTCTTAGCGATAGATGCTATTTACACCAAGTGCAAATAGCAATGGATTCTATTAACACTGTTAAAATAACAGGATTTTCTGCTATTTATACTACTTAATCCAAATAGTGGCAATTATCTGCACCTCAGTATTGTAGTGCATTATAAAACAGTACGCAATAATAAGGTATTGAGTGTAAATTATTATTTTAATTCAAATTATTAAATGGATGCCACCTTATTGGGACAAATCCCTCCATTCACCCACCTTAACCCTTTTCAACTTTTAGATTTTTGTCCTTAATTTTTATTATAATTAAATGCCTTTCCGAAGTGATATGAGATTTGAAAAGGGAGAAAAAAAAAGTTCAGCAAAAGGCAGATTCGAACTCGGGTCAATCGTGTCAAAAAAGCCACAGCACACACTATGCCACTGAAACCGATATTTGATAATCGTCTTTTATAGTGTTAACTCGCAATCACACGTTGGTGGGCGGAATTAGTGTAAATAGTTTCTGCCAACAAGGCGGGCTATTTGCACTTAGTGTAAACACACTCTGTTATTATTAAACAGGCAACTAGAGGTGTGCGATATATATCGTAATTGTTGTTTTAACAATGTGCGATTTGACATTATGGAGTACATCACAAAAACCAAACAAAACAGACTTTATTTACATTACAGCCATTAACCATGATTTGCTAGTCACATTTGGGGCGGGACATTCTCATGAGTCATCAATACTTTTGGTCTTTTGATCATAGAAAAGAACAGTACTTTTTGAAATATGTAGATTTGATAGTTTAATTTGTCTAATTGTAGGTCAATTTTGATTCCATGGAGTCTTTAAAGTGCCTGTACAACAGGTGTTGATGATCTGCTGTAAAACCAAGAAGAAAAAACACATACACAAACACATGTTTTACTAATATTTAGAAACGGCCATTATCATTTGCTGTATTATGAATACATGTTAACATTTGAGAACAACATTTTTACTGGTAGGTCAGTTTGATCTGGCTGGGGGATAAATGACGACGCTGGAAGAGTAACAGACCCCCGTCACCACTGAGCACCACTGGCTCACTGATCTGCCTCACACACCAACTGGGACGATTATATAAGACTTTTAGGAGTTCCTTACACCTCAGTGAGCAAGAGAAGATCCTGCTGAGAGTCTCTCAATCACATACGGAAATACACACAAGCGTACAGACAGGATACACAAACAAACACGCACATACACACTCACAGATGGCAGCCCTTCTGCTACACACTTACCCCTAGCTCTGTGACTAAAATATCAGTGATGCTGCCAAGTACAGTCACACAGTCGAAGATGTTCCAGGCGTCTTTGAAGTAGTTCTGTGGTAAAAAAGACATAGATGCATTTGTCAGCTGGGCTAAAGGAGGATTACACTTGGCACACACACATTCAGTGACCCACCGACAGAAAAAGGAGCAAATGATTTATTTTCACTCTCTGGTGCTAATGAAACGTCTCCTTTCCCCCTTTTAGCCCTTATTCCTTCATTGAGTTTTTCAGCCTGAGTACAAAAAAGGGTAGATGCCTAGAAGACTAGTGGCCCAGATGCTGAACATGACGGCCTTTTTGTGAGCTGCCAAGTGAGTGCCTGCAGGAAAACAGTGCATTAGGGCCATTCAGTACACCAGCTGCATGGGATCAGGGGCACCGGTGCAAAGAATGTGTGTGTGTAACTCTTTCCATCAACCACCCGTCATACCCATCGTCTTCATTTCGCTCAAAATCCGTCCTCCTTTTTCCATTTTCCACTCCTAATCACTTCAATGTGCCCTCCAGCTCACTATCTTCATGCGCGTCTCTTTTAGCTGACAACCATTTCCTTTGTGTCCTGCACTTCCATGTCCCAACCCTTTTCTCATCTACTTCAGAACGCAACTTCTTTGATCTCTCTTTCTCATGCTCAATCTGTTCATAAATCTGCTTGTGCAATGCTGATTCTGACCTCTGTGGTTTTTAAAGACTTTTGTCCCAATTCCTTTAGCCCTGTTTCACACAAAACAGGTATATGAACACAAGTAGGGTCCAAAATGAACATTTTGCCATATCTGCCAACGGTGAGCGAGGTGAGAAAATGAAACAGTCATATTTATGTCTTAGTGGCGATAAAACTGTATTTATTGATTTTTTTGAAAACACATGAACTATATTTTTGTCCTTAAAGGGATAGTTCACCCAAAAATGAAAATTCTGTCATTAATTGTCGTTCCACACCCGTAAGACCTTCGTTTATCTTCTGAACACAAATTAAGATATTTTTGATGAAATCCGAGAGCTTTCTGACCCCGCATAGACAGCAATGCAATCGAAACGTTCAAGGCCCAGAAACATAGCAAGGACATCGTTAAAATAGTCTATGTGACATCAGTGGTTCAACTTTAATTTTATGATTTATGAATTTTATGATATGATAATTTTCTTCTCTTCTGTGTCAGAATTTGATGCGAGTTCACAACAGCACCACAACGCATGCGTGTGTCTTCACCTGCATGTAAATAAGCCACCTGTAAATAAGCAACAGCTGTTCTACGTCAGAACGCCAGCTTCTACATCAGCAGCATCACACGCATGTGTTGTGGTACTCGCGTGAATGCGCGGCGGAGACTGACATGGAAGAGAAGAAATTGTTGAAAAAAGTAATTATTTTTGTTTTCTTTGCGCATAAAAAGTATTCTCATAGCTTCATAACATTACGATTGAACCACTGATGTCACATGGACTATTTTAATAATGTCCTAACTGCCTTTCTGGGCCTTGAACGTGTCAGTTGTGTTGCTGTCTATGGAGGGTCAGAGAGTTCTCGGATTTCATCAAAAATATCTTAATTTGTGTTCTGAAGATGAACGACGGTCTTATGGGTGTGGAATGACATGAGGGTGAGTAATTAATGCATTCTTGGGTGAACTATCCCTTTAAAACAATGTGATTGTTTGTATTTGACTATGTGATTCTTGTATTTTAATTTGTGTAATTGTCTCTCAAGATGAGCCAGTATCTGTCTCTTAGTCAAACTGTACTTCTCACAAAAAATGTGGCACATTTCATTCATTCACGTTTGATTTTTGTTTTGTTGGCCTAATGCAACGAAGATTCAATGTGTGCCAGTACATAGACTTTTGTGGCGGGGGAACATTAGGCATCCTATATAAACTTCTGATGGTAAAAAGGTATTAAAAGTCTTTATAAGATGTTGCAGTTTCTAGTAGTCACTGTATACTTTCACTTGCATTTGCTGCTTAGTGAGTGACAATTCTGGACCCAACATGCACACACATACAGTTAAACATGAGAAAACTGTACAGTAGACTCACCAGCACTCCAAAGGCAACGATCTTCAATATGCACTCCATGGAGAAAAGTGAGGTGAACACTATGTTCAGGTTGGCTAACACAGCTTCATAGGCATCTGATGCTCCATCATACTAAACAAACACAACATATTTAAACTGTATTAAACTGTATTTAGAAATTTTGGTAACTGGACTATAAAAACTGCAAACCTTGTAGAACATCGGTACTGAAAATCCATTTTTAATTTTATCCTATTTGTGGAAAGCACCGGTAAACTAACAATGCTAGAGTCTAAAGATTCTAAACTCTGTAATTGTTAGTTTGTACCATCACAAACTTTTAAAAGCAAATTTACCATACATTGGAAGCCTAATTCTCAAAATATATAAAGCGAGATGTACTAAAGTGAAATACTGCCACACCTTCATCATAAGGACAATGGTGTTGAGGGCAATCAATGCCATGATGGTGTATTCAAATGGAGGAGACACCACAAACTCCCACATGCGGTACTGGAATGTTTGTTTGTTCTGAGGCATGTGTCGCGTGAGCGGTTTAGCATTGATGGCGAAGTCTATGCAGGCTCTCTGAAAACAGAACAGATATGTGAGGTTAGTCAAGCTGAAAATCTGCGGCACCATATCAATGAGATCAATGCCAGCGCTATGCATAAAGAATGAGCTAGACTGATCATTTAGCTTAAAAAACATCCATTTGATATGTCCTCACCTCATTCTTTTCCAGGCTATACTCCTCCATCATTTTGTCTCCTTGCTCCTGGAAAGTGATGATGATAAGAGCCACGAAGATGTTGACGAAGAAGAAGGGGAAGACCACGAAGTACACCACGTAAAAGATGGACATTTCCATCCGGTAACCTGGACTCGGGCCCTGATTCTCGTAGGTCGCATCCACTGAATGTTTCAGCACCCTGGCGAGTGGCAAAAAAATAAGGCATTGAATATGCTATAATGTGATACTGTCAAATCTTTTAGGTAATTGTAACAAGTCCTTAGATATGCCATTTAAAATAACTTCAACTTCACTCAAATTGTAATTTGTGATGAAAACATTTGCATTACATTAGAAAACAGAAGCAATTTCACTAGTGGCTTCAGATACTGGGTACGTACACTGAAAATTAGGTTAGGAATTGAGATGTATACATACTGTGGCCACCCCTCTCCCGTAGAAACTGTGAAGAGGGTGAGAAGGGCCCAGAGCACATTGTCGTAGTGGAAATCGTATTTCTTCCATTCCCGCTTCTGCGCCCGCACTTCGTTATCTTTTTCATAGACAAGATATTCGCCCCTAACAACAAAATGCTTTTAGAATAACACACCAATATGTCTGTTCGTCAGTCTGTTTGTGTGTGTGTGTTTTTGTCTCACCTGCAGTCACGCTCCAACTCCTTGGATTCATCGGTACAGTAGAAGAAACGGCCTTTGAAGAGCTGCACAGCCACCACAGCAAAGATGAACATGAACAGCATGTAGACAATGAGTATGTTCAACACATTCTTCAGAGAGTTCACCACACAGTCAAAGACAGCCTGAAAATAGACAAAACAGAGAAGAGACAAATTCAAATGCAGCCTGAAAGCAGAACACAAACTCGGCCTCAAAACACAAACCAATACATCTTCAAAATGTAAAAATTCAACTTAATAAAGCTAATAAATATACATAAAAATTGAAACAAACCAAACAAATCAAATCAAATCAAATCAATACCCTAAAAAGCAACAATAAAAAAACAGCCTGAAAAATTAGAATGAACAGAAATTAAAATATAGCCTGACAGTCGAACACAAATCTTATAAGATATGACAAAACAGCATCAAAACTGTACAAACACAATTAAATAAAACGATAAATGATCATAAAAACAGAAACAGAATTATTGCAAACCAGCAAAAAAAAGAAAAAAAGAAAAGAAAATCTAGCAAAGCCTGAAACAAAACATACGAAAGGCATTTATAGAACACAACCCTTAGATAAAACAAAACAGCATCAATATATGCAAAAACAGATTAATTGCATTTACATACAAAAAAACAGATATAAAACAAAATAAACAAATGTGAAAACACTTCAATGTTAGAAACGAAGCCAAAAACAGATAAAGCAATCAAGTGATACAAATAAATGAACAAATACAAACAAAGGTTTAAAAACCAGACAAAACAAATTAAAAAACAGTCTGGTCAAACACAGCCAGAAACTGATTACACTGAAAAATAAAGCCCATGTAGTGAAAACAAAAACCAAACATACTCTGTAAACAGGCAAATCTCAGTCAAAACAAGGAGGAAAAATACAACCAAACACAGAGGTACCTTCAGCTTGGGCAGACGCTTGATGGTTTTCAGAGGCCGCAATACTCGGAGCACACGCAGCGACTTGATAGTACTGATGTCTTTCCCCTTGCTGCTTCCTCTGCAGATGAACACAAACACACACAAACAACAGAGTTAGAAAGTGAAATGGCAGGAAGTGTTAAGCTACATGGGTAATTGGTCTTGCACACACACAATTTAGTGGTGAGTTAGTAGCTCAGGCTGTTAAAACAATGAAACATGCCTGGTACATCCACACATTTACTCCCAGCCAATCAAGAATCTCGTCTGTGTTTCCTCACTGAGAATGCAGCCTGTTGTAGCCACACAAGCAAGCCCATTTCACAGCACTTAGGATAGACACATACTAAAACACATGCACACAGTCAATCTCACAACACACACACTCTCAGACACACTCGCTGGTGTAGCTCATGCTGTACTGAAAACTAGCTCAGCGGATGTAATATCCACTGTACCGTCTTAGCCCATGCTGGAACCACCATTGTACCTCTTTTCCCAAGGAACACTGGCTGGTTTCATTACATTGCCATGATGACAGCATGAAACATACGGAGCAGATTCAGGCATCCCTGCTGCAGAATGCCCAGCCAAACCTCTTTCTTTCTTGTTTTTGGGGTTGTCCATTGGCAAACACAACATATAAAAGGACCTGGAAACACACATCCAGTCACTCCAGAGGGGAAGAGCTTCTACCAATCAGCCCTGGCTCTGCAGTGTGAAGAACCGTGTCACCCTGAAGCTAGTCAATCAGAATCTGAATTTCTGGCATACATTATCCCAATTTGCACGCCGCTCTTGTGGTACCCAAACACTGCCATCCACCAGATGTGTGTACAGCTGTTGCACGGCAGATGTGCGGCTAGTGACCAGCAAGCTAAATGCAAAAGTCATACACTGAAGACTAAACTATGCGAATGTGCGGTTGTACACTGATTTATATCACTGTAAAACAAATTTATGTAATTATCCTTAATCACATACAGTAGGGTCTAAAAGTGATTCACATTTCTGTAATTAAAAAAAGATTTTTGTCAGCTTTTAAGTTTTGAGTAAAAATTTGAATGGAAATGTTTTTGGAAGAAGTCTCTTATGCTCTCCTAGCATTTATTTTACAACATACAGTAAACACAGTAATGTAATATGTATGTTTTCACTGTCACTTTTAATAAATTTAATGCATTCTTGCTGAATAAACTTCTTACAGAAAGGTAATTCTTACTGATAAATGGTAGTATATATGAGCACATGAACATAAATTGGTAAAAGCTATCAAAGTATTTTGTTAGTTTATGCCATCAAATGATTAATATTCAACAACTAATATAAAAAAAATGTAACTTTATTGTAAAGTAATACTGATGCGCTCATGAATTGGACACCGCTGCTTCTTTCATAAAGGAATAACAACTTAAATTTGGTTCTGTTTCACATACAAAGCAAACATTTCTTTATTTTAGACTTTTCTTTGTCTAAAATTTGTCTTAAAATCCTCACAACTTTGTTCATTTCCACATTTAAACGAAAAAAAAAAAAAAGGTTTTCACACTTTTGGACCGCACTGTATAAATAAATAGATATATATTTCTCTCTCTCTCTCCATATATTTTGCATCTTTATTGTCTTCCCTGTCCTCTCTTCTCCTCTTCTGTCTCAGTGTCAAGGACAGAGAGCAGCGCTCTAGATTTCCAGCGCCGTGCCGAATCCTGCCCTCTCAGCAGATGTAGTTACACACTGTCAAGCACAAACAAGCGTCCATCAGAGAAGTGCTGTTAGAGTGACGGGTGCAGAGGTGAGGGACCTCTCAAACCCCCCTATCAGGACTACGTGGACTGAATGATCATCCACGGATGGTTAACACAGAAACAGTGACAGAGTGATAGAAGAGATGGGTGACTTGCAGACAGACATAGAGACCAAAAAAGAAAGAGAGGAAAGCTGTGTAATTGCCAAGACAAGCATTAAGAGCAAAAGAGGGAGGAAAAGAGAGAGAAAAAGAGAGAGAGACATTACCCGCTGCCTCCGCTGTAGGTGTGAGCAGTTGAAGAGATGAGAGAGGAATCAGACACACATACACACACGCACACACAAGACACGGGGGAGAAAGGGAGTTTGAAGGAAGAAATACATTAATATGAGACACATACAGTAAAACGAGAGAAATAAGGATGCAAGCTTGTGAATTATTACACATCCACACACCCATACATCTGTGTTCACTTAACCATTTATATCATTTACAAAACTCTAAACAATATATAAGCTACGCCAGCAGAACATTTAGTCTTATTTAACCAGACTTTTGACTTGCAGCAAAACGTCTGGTCCTCCTCGCAGCTTGTTTTATGGGGCAGGAAGTGACCGCCTGACTGACATGTAAGATGATCAACCACAGTCTGTTTTGATTTTATGTTATGTTTAAGGGCGGGGATTTTTCAAATAAATTTGACCACAATGGAGTGCAACAGTCAGGTTACAGAAGTAAAAAAAAAAAAACATTAATTTTCTCCATAGTGGAATTGATATTTAGAAATAACTCACAAACCTTTAAAAACAGACCTACTGTTAGCTACGAGGTTGTTTTATGCTGGATTATTATGCTGAAGCCCACATTATTTAAATTTATTTTGTTAAATAATCAGGTTTAACATCAGAATTCCTTGTGAAAAACTACATTATCCATGATTCAGCAAAGAAATCTTGGGAAATATAAACAAATAGCACCAAAAGAACACTTTAGAGCTTGCCAACTCCTATGAATTACTGCAAATGACGTCGAACCCATCTTCCTAAAGTCTTAAACTACTTAAATATATGTATGCATATTTTGCAATATTTACCATCAACGTCTTTTCAATGGTTTTTTAATAGTTTTATATTTGTCTGTTGTTTTTCCCTCATGAAAGCCGTACAAGCATAGTCTTGTACTGTCCTTTTTTCCAGATTTTCAAATATTTTTTTGCTTCAAATAAAAGTTGTTAATGTTGTGATTCACCTCGTAGGTGGTTGGTTTGGTTCATGACTTGTCTTATAACTCTTTAATAAAGACTTTTTAAAACCTCCTATGGGAAAAAATGAATGGGATAAATACTACCAGAACCAAAGCTGTTGAAAAAAATGGAAGGGGACTCTATATAACAATAATCTGCCATTGAAAATGAATTCAAACAGCAGCACAACAGTCGCATTGAGCAGACAATTAGCGGCAAATGCATCTACTTTTATACTTACAGACAAAACCCAGAAAACAAGGTGGAATGTATGTTTCTGGCTCAAACAAATCTCAAACAGAAGAAGATTTGATTATCAATTTCAGTCCGAACTTGCCTTTTTTAGTGTACAATAAGCACAGATAGTCAGCGAACAGACTGTGGGTGATCTGTAGGCATGTCGTCCGAGGCTGAGACTAGCTTACATACACATATGCACACTTTCACACAAATCTAAATCTATTTGAGTAGTAAACATGCATTGCCATATTGCATGTGACTTCATCGCTGTGGTGACAGCTTCTGGAGTTAGTTGCCATGCCTCCTTGTTCATCATTATCTGTACAGTGCTTTAGAGCTCATATCGTCACATGACATATGATATATGTCACATGGCACTGTCATATGACCATAAGCACTTCACCTGCAGGGCAATGGAGACCCGAGTCTCTGCTGAAGTCTGTGATTCATACAGATTTATTCTACATGGTACTATTATGTGCAAAAAAGCTTGATTCACTCCAGTTTATTAAGACCAAATCCAGCACTCAGCACAAAAATAAATAAATAAAAACAGACTCCCAGCAGGCTCAAGTCTGTCAGCTCAAGCAGTTCACAGGCTCAGATCTGGAAACGTGTAAACACACACAGACCTTCTCAACAAACATCTCTCTGAGGCACGAGAGATGTTGTCTCAGTCATCTCTTTTTATTCTCAAGAGATGATCGGGATCAATTCCATCACTTAAGACTTACTTAGTATTGTCTGTGCCACTAACTTACGCAAACCTGCTATTTTAGACCATGCAGTGCATCTGTCCTATTCCATTGTGTCTTATTTGCCAATCATCCCTATTAGTAAAAGTAGAGTACACCTGTTGAAAGGTGTGTGTAGTAAGCAGAGATGAGATGTTTATGCAGAGATCTTTGTATACTAAATGACCCACCAAGAAAAACGTCATCTCTGATATAAACAGATAGTTCTGTTTTTGATTGGATGAGTTGCATTCCAATCCATTTTAATGCACACCGGTGATCACACATTCTATATATTATCGCATCAAGTTGCCACGTTGCTTGAAAACTGTCTAATGCAAATATGAATGAACTCTACTTCTTGTTTCTAGAATTTTGTTGAACAGAAGCAAATAGCCAACCGATTCACAATGTTTTAACACATATGTATTTTTTATCCAGCTTTCTGACTCTGTATGCCAGCATAGGGAAGTGCATTCTGGCATCTGTTTCTCTCACTCTCACTTTCTCTCTTAGCTGACTTTTTGCCGCAATAAATAGACTGCCTAATTGGATCTAGCGTTCATCAAAATGGTGATACACATCTCAATTGGACAGTGCCCTTCTAGGAGGTGAGCAGTTTGATTGTCTGTAATCCCATTATGGTGTTATCTTTCTGGGCAAAGGCCCTGTCCAGCCCTAATAAGTCCTAATGCATTCTGTGTTGTCTTGTTTCGCTGCTTTACATGGGCAGCTCTGCAAAAGTGATCTGTATATAGAGAATTGCCTGACATGTCCTCTGCATGTCTCACTATGCTGCTATGAAATCACTCTGCAAGTGTATCGGACTAATCTGTTGATTTTTATCATGTCCAGATTATTCTATGAAAGTACCACCTGTGTCCAGTCATCTGATGAAGTGCACTAACTATCAAAATCTTTACATATACAAAAAAGTATGAATATAAACATAGAAAAAAGTATAAATATAAACATAGAAAGTTAAATATACTAAATATGTAATTAAATAAATTAATACATTTACAATAATTGTAAAGTTAAATAATTTCCCCATGTAATTTACATTGTATTTAAATTAAATTTAAATTATATTTTAAAGGAGTATTTTACATGTCTATAAATAATATATATATATATATATATATATATATATTACTATATCTATGTATAATCTGTATAAAAATAAA